AAACTGGGTGTACTGGGTTTGCGTTAAGTGTAGTTGGCGTCGGTAGGGAAGTGCGGGTTGTACAAACGACGTGGGGTTGGGGCGGCGGTTGCTCACTCCCAGCAGTGTCAGGGGAGGCAGCTGACAGGAGCCTACGGAAATCAGAAAAGTAGTCACGCTCCGGTTGGATTTCCCTTAAAATCAGCTAATTCGTGACTACTTTATGACAATACTTCTCATGTTTAATCTTTTAAAAATATGTTTCCTCCGTATTTTAATCCTCGTCCTCCTCGTCCTCGTCCTCCTCCTCCCCCAAAACGAAGGCTTCCCCAGGCCTGGCAGCCCGCAGGGCCAGCTCCTCTGCCCCAGCCGGGTCTCTCGTCTCGGCGGTGTCCGGCCCGCTGGGGTATTCCGCTTGCGCGGGCGGAGGCAGCACGGGAGCGTGGCTCTCTGGGCTGTATTTGTGACCCCAGCCGAAGTAAATGTTGCCAAATTTCCTGAGAAAAGAAAGATCACACGTTCTCCCCCCCACCAGCAAAACATCAGCCTTCCCTTCTCTGCAGTGCAGACTCCCTGTAACAGAGTTGTTTAACAGTCAGCACCTCTTTGTACCTGCTGGTAACGGTTGATTAATTGAACATTAATCTTCCACTTAATCTCCCGGTGCTAGAATGATGAGGGGCTATACTGAATACGGCTCCAACTTGCCGTTGATAACACTACTGTTGCTGACAGCAGCTCCAGTGCCCGAGTAACAGCATGTAGGGGGAAGGGCTGTACCATATGCAGTGGAAATGAATGAATTTTACAACAACAGAAGGTAGTGATTTTTGTAAAAAGTAACACTGACTTGGAATATAGGTTTTAAATCAAGGGCTGTGCCCAAACACTAACAGGACATTCACATCAGTTAATGTTATACTAGCCTTTCAGTGATTATTCATTTTCAGCCTTAGATAAATATTTACTGTTGCTGAGCACATTTAAGAGGCCTTCTCCATCAGTCTGTGGAATAGTTAGAGTTAATGAATTAATATAATGCAATAACAGTAAAGCAACTTTGGCTTCATTAGACAGGTATCTGTTTAGCACAGACAGTCTGTGCTGTAACCTGTCCCAGCTACTCACTTGCCAGATGCAAAAGCATATGCTCCCGGCCACCGGTTAGACTGGAGGATTGCCACAGCATATTGCGGGATCAGATGTGTGGAAGGCTGAGCTGTCCAAGCAGGGATGTTTTGAATTCCTGGAGGCAGCCAAACACAGTCTATCAATCTATCAATACTGCAGCTTTTCAGTATCTGAAGGGAGCCTACAAGGGTGCTGGGAGAGGACTTTTTACAAGAGCCTGTAGTGATAGGACAAGGGGTAATGGGTACAAATTGAAATCAGGGCGGTTTAGATTAGACATCAGGAAGAAATTCTTCACAGACAGGGTGGTGAGGCACTGGAACAGGTTGCCCAGAGAAGCTGTGGATGCCCCATCCCTGGAAGTGTTAAAGGCCAGGCTGGATGGGGTTTTGAGCAACCTGGTCTAGTGGAAGGTGTCCCTGCCCATGGCAGGGGGGGTGGAACTAGATGATCTTTAAGGTCCCTTCCAACCCAAACCATTCTCTGATTCTCTGATTCTAATAAATGTGACTTACCAGCCTCTACAGAATACTTAAGACTGAGCTGTGAGACTTTCACAGAATTCAGGCAGCAGTTACAGTGAGTCATGTGCCAGAAGGGCCAGAGGTCACACAGGCAGGTCGGATGGATGGGTAGGGAGCATGGGAATGCTAACAGAGCCACGTACAAAGATCATGCTCCTGAAATTCAGTTGTACTTACCGCTGTTTCTTTTGTCGAGGACTTTTTATCACTTATGAATAAATTACAGAGTTCAAGTTTACCTTGATCACAGAATGAATAGGAAAATAATTTACTGTTGCTGTAATTTCATATTCAGGTTCGCACATTCTTGAGATTTGCTGCAGTAATATGCAACAAAATCTAAATTCTTATTTGTATATCTGTGCATGTGTGTACATATTGATTGATTTTCACATGCACACACTTTTTCTTTTGTCTACAAAGCTGACAAAGATAGCTGAAGGTATTTCATGTAGTGAGCTGTCTGACCTTCACAGTAGCCTGACAAGTCTGAGGTATGTTTTCCCTTGGTTATCAACAAGATTGAAGTAATTTGGTTTACTAATTAACAGTTTCATAGCAATACTGTGAAGCATTTCACTTTTGATCAGTTTAGCAAAAGAATGTGCTTACCCTACAGAGAGGAACTCTTGCTCTATGAAGCATCAGAGCCCTATAACTTCAAATATTTACGGCCTAAAGGCCAACATGCTTATTCTGTGAAGAATACCTTCATCTTCAGAGAGTGGAGTGAGAAGAGGGGGTCCTATTTCTTGCTGTTGTTCATCTGGCTCCTCAGCTTTCTCCTCTTCTTCTTCCTCTTCCTCTTCTTCCTCTGATTTTTGAAAAGGATTAAGCCAAACACAGCGACCCTGTAATTGGTATGGAAATGGAATAAATGTGTGTAACAGGCACTGAAAGAAGGCAAGCCACTTAGAGACTGGCTCAGGCACACACAGGTGGGAATAGATATTCCCTAAGTTCCCAATAGCCCTCATCCCTGGTTCCTGTTCCAGAATAACCTCACACCTCTGCCATCAGCTTTTTGTTATTTTGTGGTGGTCAGTTCCCTGCCAACAACAGTAACAACAGTTACTTAGAGGCTCCCACCTACAGACTTTGCCCCATCCTTTTAAATTCTGCCTTCTTACTCAACCACCAGGCAGAGGAACGCAGCAAAACTTTTGTAAGATTTCAATGCATATAGATTTTATTTTTACAGCTATTGTTTTGCTGGTTAGCATTTGTAACCTTATTTCCTACTGTTCGCTGTTATTTTACTTCCATTCTTGAACTGGGGGACTGGCCAGAAAGTCACCCCACAATGACCACCAGATTGGTAACACTCCTTCCCAGCACTAGCCCGACACCACCAATCATTCAAACTGCAGTTTCATTTAGAGTATTTGGGTTTTAACATTTTTCACTTGCAGGTCTCCCAAAAGAAAGTAAGCAACAAAAAATAAACCAGCAGAAAACACCAGATAAGTTCCACTTTGCATCCAATCATAAGCCATCTGCATTTTAGCATCCTACCCAAAAAAAGGGGACTAAACCCATTTTTGTCCAGTAAGGGACTTCAAAAGAGAACACCTCATACAGACGATGACCAGAAGTTCTTGTTACCTGCCGCACTGTACCTACAGACGGGTTTAAGTGTCTAGAGTGCACCACTGCGAGAAGTACTGACCCCAGAAGGTCCCACATATGGAGATGTGTGACTCTAGGGAAGCGTGTCAGTGCCAGGCTGTCTCTGGTGAGTGGTTCAGGTGTGGAGGTGAGGAGTGCCCGTTACGTTCTGAAAACCTACAGGTGCCCCAGCGGGGCTGGGAGCCAAGATGCCCGTGAGCTGCCAGCACACACCTGCTGTAGAATGCTCTCTGTGTGGTGCACCCACGTGGAGAGAGAATCCACCATTTCTGCCATAGGGAGAGGCTGGAAATCGGGGTTTTCCTCATATGTGTCTCTCCTTCCTTCCTCCTCTCTGTCTCCTTCTTCCTCTGCAAACTGGTAAAACCCAATGGGAGAAATCTGGGTCCCTGCAGAAATCCGGGCTATCTGTGCACGCAGGTAATTGGCCTCGTTTCCAGGGAAAGGAGGGAAGCTCACGACGGGAGCATCCAGCCTACCCGTGAAGAACTTCCTGATTTTCCTGGCACAGACAATCTGGGCTGGTGTCACCGGCGGCAGCTTCACCCAGGGCTTGCCTGGTTCGTTACAGACAAAGTAGACGAACTTATTAGCCCCAGTCCCATTCTCTTCCTTTGGGATAATGGGGGGGGGCTGATAGCTGGACTTGGGTGGTTCATCTTCTTTTTCTTTCTCCTCATCTTCATCTCCGAACTCACCCTTCCCTTTCCCTCCTTCCTCAGTAACATCTTCCTCTTCTGTTTCCTCCTCCTCTTCCCCCTCCTGGTACTGTACTTCAGCTATAATATAGTTCATCTCCAGGCCCAACATTTTGCCCCAGAAGCGACAGGTCGCGACTGGCTGAGCACTGATTAGTTTTTGAAGGGCAAGGAATATGTGATAGGATTCATCCTTGCCCAAGCCAATTCCAGCCTGTTCAAAGTAAAAGGCTGTCTCCATCATGTTAGGTAGACAGGTCTCTCCCTGGGAAAGAAGATCCAGAGTTAGAGCTGGAGAATAGTGTCATTACCTACTTGAACAATTAACCATGTTGCTGTCTGACCCTGACCCTTCACCCTCCTGCAGCACCACTCACCCTCTCCCGCGCTTTGCACACACTCAGTCACTGTCAGTTAGAAAAGTTAAAATGCCATTTTAAGGGTAACAAAGAGAACAGAGAGGAACCGCAGCTTTTAGAACTTTGAATTTCAACATTCCAACTCCTAGTTACTGCGCAGTTCGGTAAGTCGGAATTCTGACACAGATCTCCATAGGACTCAGGGCCAGGGCATGTCATGTGTATGAGGCCTCGATGCCCACAGCGTCACTGTGCGCCAGACGCGTGTGTGGAATACTGGGTATGTGTTTCAGACATTTGCACAGCAGAGCAGTGACATTCTGCTGGAGTGAACGCTGTGCTTTTGGGAACCTTGGCATAAGGTTCCCTGCTTTCTTACACACTGGCCCCTGCCCACACTGAGGCCACACTGGGGCTCCAGCTGCGTCACTGGGAGTAGGACTAGGCCAGCAATGGAGAGCTCATCACGTATTCCCATTTGCCTCATTATCCTGCTCTCACTCCATGGGGGTGGGGGATTATATCACACAGCAAAAGGCATTACAGGCTGTGCACGGCAGGGTAGGGAATTTGGAAGGAGCAGTGCTAGTTTCCTATGGAATTTCTTTGGCCCTTTCATGTGTTTTATATCAAAGCAAGATAGGCAGGAGTATGAGAAATTCAAAAGTCTTTTCTGAAATACCCTACTTTTTTCCCGTTTTACCATCAGTCTGTTACTGTCAAATCAGTCAGGCTGTGGAGGAGAAGGAAGACACTATTGTTCCACTGGTACTTGTGTGCTGCAGTGGCACTGCATTTGAATAGGTACTGGGAACTTCCTACCAAACCAACACCTTGGGGATTAGTTTCCCTCAGATATGACAGGAATTCTCTTAATTTTCTGTTGTGTACAAATGCTTTTGCATATAAGCAACCAAGTACTGAAACCCCCAGGTTTAAGAAGTGGCTTTTGAATTCCATATCTACCGTTCTCTACCAATGACTCACCATCTCTTCTTCCAGCTCCTCATCTCCTTCCCCATTTGCCTTGAGGAACAAAGCTTTATGCCTTTCTGCAGCTTCAAACGTTGGCAGAATCTCATATTCTTCCCGAAGAGTGTCCCTTTTTTTCCGAGCCTGAGTCCCCTTCACATCCTGGCTCACACTCTCAATGATGTCAGCGGCGTTCGCGGGCTGTTCCTCCAGGAGTTTGGTCAGCACATCAGAGAGGTGATCGTAGCTGTCGCAGAAATGGAGATGTTGTTGGTCTACTGTACAAAACTCTTAAGAGTATTGTGTTTGGGATATCAAAAATCACAGCTAATCACCTGGAGCTGTGGAGAAATTGCTGGAATAATGAGGTGAAAGGGGATCACAGAGCATTATGGGAAATTAGACTTGACACTACCCCAATTACAATATACTTGGGGTCAGTCCCATCTACCACTTTTCGTGCGTGTCCCACCAGCCTCAGGAGCTGCAGCTGAACTCAGACCTGCTCTTCATCAAACCCATTTCCCTCTGAGCTCTACAAATTCCTGTAGGAATGTTGATTCTGAGATGTTAGAGACACACAGGTATCACATGGCAGTGAATCGCTGCAGTTATCACAGGCTCACGTCCCCTGCTCGGTACCCCTCCCTTTCCGAACAGCCCCCTCTGCATGCTCACCACCACGGCTCTTCCCTCCGCTCCCCCTTCCCACCCCTCTTACTGTGCCTATTTCTCGACTTACACGCTCAGGCCGGATGCTGAGCTGCTCCTCAGCAAATAGGTTTTTGCGTTCTGCACCGCCAGCGCCCGGGAAGCGGGGGCGGGTGCCCGATCGCCACGGGGGCTGTACCCTGGCTGATAAAGGACATCAGCAGGCTCCTGTGGCTGCCAAGGGCTGTGCCCACACCCGCGGGCT